TGGGACCACCAGGGCCACCAGGAACCCCTTGGGACCACCAGGAACCCCTCGGGATCACCCATGGGACCACCAGAAACCCCTCAAGATCCCCCATGGGCCACCAGAAACCCCTCAAGAGCCCCCATGGGCCACCAGGAACCTCCCCAGGGCCACCAGGAACCCCTTGGGACCACCAGGAATCCCTTGGGATCCCCCATGGGACCACCAGAAACCCCTCGGGATCACCCATGGGACCACCAGAAACCCCTCAAGATCCCCCATGGGCCACCAGAAACCCCTCAAGAGCCCCCATGGGCCACCAGGAACCTCCCCAGGGCCACCAGGAACCCCTTGGGATCCCTTTTGGGACCACCAGGAACCCCTCAAGATCCCCCATGGGACCACCAGGGCCACCAAGAACCCCTAGGGATCATCCATGGGACCACCAGGGCCACCAGGAACCCCTTGGGATCCCTTTTGGGACCACCAGAACCTCCCCAGGACCACCAGGAACCCCTCGGGATCCCCCATAGGACCACCAGGAGCCCCTCAGGATCACCCATGGGACCACCAGGATCCCCCCAGGGCCACCAGGAACCCCTCAAGACCCCCATGGGACCACCAGGAATCCCTTGGGATCCCCCATGGGCCACCAGGAACCTCCCCAGGGCCACCAGGAACCCCTTGGGATCCCTTTTGGGACCACCAGAACCTCCCCAGGGCCACCAGGAACCCCTCGGGATCCCCCATGGGACCACCAGGAGCCCCTCAAGACCCCCATGGGACCACCAGGAACCCCTTGGGATCCCTTTTGGGACCACCAGACGCCCCCCAGCACCACCCCAACCCCCTCAGTACCCCCCCCACCACCCTTTTAACCCTTCCCGTGCCGTCCCCCAGCGCCTCATCGACAAGTCCAAGGTGACGCTGGTGAAGTGGCTGCCGGACACCGAGCGCCTGTTCCTGGCGTCGCACGCCAGCGGCCACCTGTACCTGTACGACTCGGAGCAGCCCTGCGGGGCCACCAGCCCGCAGTACACGCTGGTCACGCAGGGCGAGGGCTTCAGGGTCTTCTCCTGCAAGAGCAAGACCCCTCGGAACCCGCTGCTCAAGTGGGCCGTGGGCTCGGGGCCGCTCAACGAGTTCGCCTTCTCGCCGGACGGGCGCTCGCTGGCGTGCGTCAGCCAGGACGGCGTGCTCAGGGTCTTCCACTTCTCCTCCATGCTGCTGCAGGGCATGATGAGGAGCTACTTCGGGGGGCTGCTCTGCGTCTGCTGGAGCCCCGACGGCCGCTACGTGGTCACCGGCGGCGAGGACGACCTGGTCACCGTGTGGTCGTTCGCCGAGGGACGCGTGGTGGCCCGCGGGCACGGCCACAAGTCGTGGGTCAACGCCGTGGCTTTCGATCCCTTCACGCCTCCCCCGCCGCCGCCCCCCGACGGGCAGGGGGGCGGCGAGACCCCCGAGGAGCCCCCGAGCGTCACGTACCGCTTCGGCTCGGCCGGCCAGGACACGCAGTTCTGCCTGTGGGACCTGACCGAGGACGTGCTGGACCCCCGGCCGCCCCCTCCCCGCGCCCGCCNGCGTCGAGACCCCCGAGGAGCCCCCGAGCGTCACGTACCGCTTCGGCTCGGCCGGCCAGGACACGCAGTTCTGCCTGTGGGACCTGACCGAGGACGTGCTGGACCCCCGGCCGCCCCCTCCCCGCGCCCG